CAGAGGGCAGGCCGCAGGCGCAGGAGTCAACTTCGCATAGGCCGTTGCAGACGTAGGGGTCGTCGCCGCCGGCAAAGCCCCTCGGTCCTTCTCTCCAGGTGCTCCCACGGTCTCCCCCCATCTTCCCATGGTTTGTAGTTTTGATTTCTGCATGTGAATCACTCAATCGATGAATTGGATTGGGGATTTAGGGTTAAGATTGAATGTGTACTGCCTGTCTGCCTCTGTTGGTCCTTATTATGCCACTCTTGTTCTTGGATTGGGATTAGGATGTCGACGTCCAGAAGCTGCATCTGCCGCTTCTTCTTTGGGGCTATGCGGCTGACTCCAAGCTTCAGCCGAGGTTGCCTACCACCTGAAGAGGAAGTCATCGATATAATTTGGGAGGGGGGCGTCTCTGTGATCCCAATGACAAGAACAGGTCAAGTGTCTTCTTTGTGGACAAGAGAGCACAAAGAGAATTTATCGCCTTAGCAAAGATCTTGCTCATGTTGGCACATCTATTGTGAAGTGCCCAAAAGTAAGTGAGGAAATTAAGGAAGTGCAAGAAGAATCTTGATGAAACAGCAAGAAAGAAGAAGAAAGATAAGCAGCAACATGATGCTACAAAGAAAAAGAATCTTGATGAAGCAAACAAAGAAGACCAAGAAGGGCAAGGATGCTACAGACCACGGTGTTGAACATTCGTTTTTGAAAAGATGTGTCCCTTTGTTTGAAGGTCTTTGAGCCCTTGGTGAAAGTTCTACGTTTGGTTGATGGGGATGAGAAATCATCTATGGGTTATGTGTATGGAGAACTTCTCAAGGCAAAGAGGGAGATCAAGGAGGCCTTTGGAAATGTGGAAAAGAACTACAGAGAAGTGATGGCTATTGTTGACAAGAAGATGAAAGATAGGCTTGATTCTCCATTGCATGTGGCTGCATATATGCTGAATCCATATCTGCCCTGAAAACACCCCATATTCGGCTTGTTCGGGCTTCTTTTTTCAACGGAACAGTATTTTCCTCTCACAACAATTCAAATAGGAATAGTGTTTTCACCAATTTCGGACCAGTGAACGGGGCCTCTATAATTCTGACAATCCAACAATCTTCTCTCGATTCAATTGTAGGGGAAAAATTCATGATATGTGTGGAGACCTTTTATCATGGTGAGGATGATAAGGAATATAGGGCTGTTAATGAGGACTTGGAAAAATTCCAAAAGAGACATGGATCCTTCTCAAAGAAGATGGCAAGGAGCTGTGAACGCTTTGAGTTCAATCCAGGTAAGCTTTTGCATCGTTCTGTCAAGATTTTTTTTCTGCAATCAATTCTGTCCAGAATTTTTTGCAATCAATTTTGCACATGTTTGATACATTTCACTTCATTTTATAGCATCTTGGTGGAGGCTTTATGGAGGAGGAGCACCAGATTTGCAAAGAATGGCTATTAGAATCCTCTCACTGACCTCTAGCTCTTCTGGATGTGAAAGGAATTGGAGCACCTTTGAACATGTCAGTTTCTAGTCTCTACTAATTGTTCTCTAGTCCCAATTTAATGTACATGTGCTGGTTTTTTGTTTTAGCATCATACAAAGAGAAGGAATAGGCTGACAACAGAGGCCTCAACTCTTTAGTATTCATCCAATTCAATAATAAGTTGATGTCCAAGAAGGAGAAGATTACCAGAAAGAGTAACTATGAAGTGCTCCTAAGTAGTGATGCTTCTGAAGCCCAAGGATTTTTCTTTGAGGGAGGGGATGATCATGCATTGGTTGTCTTTAGGGATGAGGAAGATGAGGGAGAAATGCCGGGAACAGGGATACCATGGAGTGTTCTTGGAGAAGCAATGGGAACTAATGAACAGCTTCAACCTAGGAGGAGTGCAAGAGTGGCTAGAGAGGTGCATGAAGAAGAGTGGGAGTCTGAATTTGAAGATCATGATTATCAGGATGATGACATTGCCGTTGATGATGATGAGGATGAAAAAGCAATTCTAAACTCCTTTACATTGGCGGAGTGAGGACTTGCATGATGGCAGCATGCTGCCAAGTTATCTAAATATTAATATCTAGTTATTTATTTATCTTTAATTTGTGTGTGGACCATAAGACCATTATTGTGTGTTGTACCACTATTTAATTTCTGGACCATTAAGACACGTGATGAACTGCTAGTGTTGTCTGTATATTTTTCTCGTGATCTTTTGCCTTGTGCTGCTGCCCTGATGTTTGGAAGCTTGGCTGTGCATGTACAATATTGAGCTACCCCTCGTAGATAAGTTTCTACTCTTTCCCTATTATTTGATTGTCTGGTTTTCAGATTATTAACTTGTCTCTCTTTAATGGTTAGCTGTTATTGGATGCAAGAAGCCAAGGAGAAAAGAAGCCAACAAGTGTGCAGCAACAGCAAGAGGTATGTTCACTACTTAGCAGTGTTATTACTTAGTACTTACTACTAATCTTGCTCTCAGCAGCACAAAAATAAAAAAACACACACAAACGATTAATCATGTTTAATCTACGTTTAATCCTCCTAGGCGCTAGTCAGTAGGCTAGCGCTTGCCTAGCGCCTAGCGTTTTCTTGAACATTGAAAAGGAGCTCAATTAAGGTGTCCATGTTTACTGGGTTCAGACATCTTCTCTTTATCAATACTACCTTGAAGCTTGTGATCCCAATATGATGTAGAGGAGAGCCAAAGCATATTACCTGTAAAGCAATAAAAGATATCTAAGTATAACCGAAATTTAGGACAGCACTGAGTTATGCAGTTTGCTTCTAGCATACTAGCTTATTTAAGACGGACCATAAGATAGGCACATCAAGTATATATAGCCTTCTAGCTTACCAATGCCGACTCAAATCCGGAAAGCCCATCATATTTAACTTGCTTTTCTTTCTCAATTCAAACCCAACCAACATTTCACAACAGGAATGTTTTGACATTTGACCATGCCATTTCCGAAAGTGCAGAACCATCTTTCTATTAATATCAATGGCCAAACAAATTTCATCAAGAACGGCTTTTTCATAACAAACTGGCTAAATTTGTGAAAAAAACATAACCATAGTAATCAAGGATACAATATGATAAGAGGTCATCTCATGTTAGATATGTGCTACTTATTTTATCTTGGGGGGCCTAAATCATGCTACAGGAATCTCAGTACTTGGATATCTTTCTTGTGCTCTTAGAAACTTGGCAACATTATGCAAGGCTGCAGCTAACTTGATCGATTTTCCTTTGTTTTATGAATCCATTTAGTCACTGTAGTAGTTCTTCTGCTTTCTATTTCTGAAAGCATGATAGGCTACTTGCTACTCCCTCCGGTTCTCTAAAGCAAGTCGTTTTGAGGTTGTCTTAAGTCAAACATTTTAAACTTTGACTACAAATAACTTCTTTTGGGTTGATTTTGAAAATATGAAAGTGATGTAAGTAGATTCATCTCGAAATGTAGTTTCATAAAAGTATATATTAACTATATTTTATAAATATTTTATAGCAAAAAGTTGCAGTCAAAGTCATTTCTTAAAGACCGTATCGATGACCAAAACGACTTGCTTTAGAGAACCGGAGGGAGTACTTATTTTACTAATCCACAAGTAAAAAAATAATTTGCAGGATTCTAGCAATTCAAGATTTTTCTAACCCTCACTACGCAGATATGAGCAGTGAGCCATCCATAGATCCATCCTCAAAACTTAGAGAGGTTCTGCATTTCAGCTGAGAGAATGTTCCTCGCTGTAGCCTGAAAATAAGAGTCGAGTGTTGAACAACAGAGTCCATGCTTTAATAGAGGAAGCCACTGTATTCATAAAGGCAATAGAATCCATGTAAGAATTTCCATATAGCATAATTATTTGGTATTTGCAACAAAGCAAGGAAGCAAATATGAGAGTGCCCATGTGTGATCACAAACAAATTAAACTATCATTGGGTCTCTATCAATGTACACGAATCCACAGAAAACTTCTAGGCTGAGGCATTTAGTTTTTTTCTAACTGTGTATGAATTCTTACAGAATGAAAAACTACCTATAACCTTAGCATAAAGCACAAGTCAGCTAGGAGCTCCTTGTTGCTTGCAAATAAATTGGTCACAGATTGTCCACACACAGTGACGCAGTGTAACATTGATGCTTATTAAGTACTCAATCCATCCCAAATTGTAAGACGTTTGACTTTTTTGACACCAAGTTTGACCACTCGTCTTATTCAAAAATTTATGTAAAATATCACTTCTTTCGTTGTGGTTTGGTTTATTAATAAAAATTCTTTAAGAATGGCTTAAATTTAACTATATTTGTATAAATTTTTTTGAATAAGACGAGTGGTCAAACTTGGGGTCAAAAAAGTCAAACGTCTTACAATTTGGTATGGAGTAGTACTTTTTAGTGCCAACCAAAACATGTATGTTAGTGAGGGAGAGTGTAAAGCATAGCATAGCAGAGCTGAGCTGAGCTCAACTGTGAGCTTGCCTGCAGCCCAAAAAACTGCAACGATGTGGGCTTGCTTTTGACGCATTCCAATTTAATAATTGCTCACTGTGTCTGTTCTGCCATTCAGTTATTACCACTGCAAATATTGAAGAGTATCTCTTCTAATTTTCCGTACAAATGAAAAAGATACCAATCTCTATTGATCACGATTTGTTTCCACAAAGGCACATGCACTGATGCACATACGAATGAGAAGAGAAAGCAGGCCAAGACTCAATTGGCAACTGCAGAGTAGGATCCTCTTCGTCCGCTTAGAGGAACATGCAGTCTCTTGGCAGTCAGTTCTGGCGGAGTACTCTCGGCCACTGCAGGATCCTCCTCCTCTGCCTACACTTGGTGGCGGCAGCAGCAGCTGGAGGCTGGAGCTCGTTCTCCTCCATGGCGGCATGGCCAGGTCCTCCTCACTCCAGTAAACGATAAATTTGTAATAATATAATGAAACAAGAGATAAAGCAAAGCAGCGTCCTCACTTGGTGTGGAGACCATGGTAGGCGTGCTCCATGCCATAGACGAAGAGCATGATGCAGAAGCCCTTGAGCACGACGGCGGTAGCTGTGAAGGCGACTGTGCTGCCCATGTCGTGCAGCGCGGTGGCGGCCTCGGCAATCCGTGTCATGAGATGTGTGATGCGCTTGCCCCATGGCGAGTACCCGAGAAGCAGTAGCTCCGCATGGTCCTCCAAGGCTCGCGTTGTCGTTGTCGAGCGCCAGCACCATCGACTGCGCCCGGCGCACCGCCTCCCCAGCGCCGCCGCCGTCGGCACCCTCCACGTCCAGCCCGCTCCACCGCATCCATCCTCTGGGCCTCCAAAACCACCTCAAATCCATCCACATCCAGCACGGCTTGAGATGCTGCTTCATGGAGGACGTCGCAAATCTAGGAGGGGGAAAACAGTGAGGGAGAGGGAGAGGAGGAAGGTGAGGGAGGGGAACATACGACTGAGGCCTTGCCGTCCCACGGATGAAGAAGAAGGGGCGATGCAGAGAGAAGCGGCGGAACCACGAAGGGAGCGGAGCGGCGGGAAAGGGTTGCGGCGGAGCGGCGGCGTGGCTCACTCTCGTCCCGGCGCCGCTGCCTGACGCCCTGGGCGCGGTCGCGGTGGCGCGGCTCCTTGCCTTCCAGCCACGCCGCCGCACTCGCCGAGGGCGTGGCCGCCGCCGCAAGCCCTAGTTGTCGCCATTGGAAGGGGCCACTCGGGCGCGCGGGCGTCGAAGTGGAACGAAGAGTCGTTTCGTTTTTTTTCGAAAACAAAATAAAAGTGGCACCGGGAGCGGGGCAGGGATTCGATCCCTGCATGCGTGGGACGCGTTTGAAGCCCGCGTACGTGCGATGGAGGGCAGGGCACGCTAAACATGACCTGTTGGATTTGACGAGAAATGAGAGAGAATAACTAAGAGATAATCTGGTGTATCTGTTTTGATGGTGTTATATTTTCTAGGTGTATTCATAGATGTGGATGTAGCATAAGTTATGACTGTGGAACAGGCATTTGTTGTGTGGCTGTAGATTTATTCTAACTGGTGTATTATAGGATATATATAGGGTAGATGAGTCAATTTTCGGAGACTACAACTATTTGTGAAATATAATAAGGGATTATACAATTTCTAACATCCGTTAACAAGTTTACACCAAATTTGGCCTCCTGAAACAAGAAAGTTCCATTTTTTAATATAAAAAAACAGTTGTGGGTCCACTTATGATATGGATTACTTTCTATTTGAAGGACGGGTGGACTCCACAACAGATTAGTATTTTTTTTTAAAAAAATAAAAAGTTGTAGTTCCTTGTTTACTAAAGAGTACTCTTTACTAAAGGCCAAAGTTGGCGGTTTTTATTAAATGGTCATCAGAAGTCGTTGTTCTTTTTAGTACTCTATAATCTATCTTAAATAAAAGTGATCTTCAATTGTCATAAGTCAAATCATTTGAAGCTTAATTAAATTTATAGAACCTCGTTGAAAAGCTAACTCATAAAAATACATTTGATAATATATCTAATGAAATTTATTTGACATTGCTGATTTTATTGTTCTTTCTTAAAAAAGTTTATCGAAGATCCAACTTAGGATGGTTTATAACAGTTAAAAAATCCATATTCCGGGCCCAAATGGAAGTAGTAATTATTATACAATGTGTCACGTAACATTGCAAGATGAACGCAAACACCATTGTTTACCAACAGCTAAGAACATGTCAAATTTATGATACTTTGTTATGACCTTGCTATGAACAAAAAATGGTACCGAGACCTTACATTTCGAAATGCAACGAGTATCTAATTTACACAGGCATCAGATGATAGATTACATATGTTACACCATGCCACATTTAAATCTATTAATATACAACAGGCAGAAAGTAAAGCACGAGGATAGTGGAATAGTGACCCATCTCACAATCTTCCCCCTCCGACAACTACTTCAGCAAGTAATTACATCACGATTCAGTGGTCCCTGACCCCTCAAAGGAAGCCCTTGTGGAAGAACTATACAACTCGCCCTCCACGAAACACAAATCCAGTCCAACACACTGGACTTTCACAACACCCGTAGAATAGATACTCTAGGAAGCTAGAACCACACCGGCGTGTAAAATACCGGTACATCTACAAATTGCCAATCAATACATAATAAACTCACGAAAATTTGGAGGTGTTCAGCCTGCCCCACCATTTCCGCTTCACAGAGTTGGGCGATGACTCGTTGCCATTCCCAAGCTTGTTCAGGATCACCTTTGTCTCCCTTATGCGGCCACTGAAATCTTTCTTCCACGAGTCAAAATTCTGCTTCAACCTCCGGAGCTCCATGTCTGGGTTTAGGCTGGAATCCGCCTGCCCAGACTTGACCTCAACCAGGAACTTGGCGTCATCAGCAAAAACCTGGCTCCGCTGTTCAAATTCTTCCGTTAGGCGGCCAATGACGCTCAGGCCAGCGTTCATTTCGCGCGCACCAGTGCGTGGCACCAGCTGAGACCCACTGCTGACGTGATTCCCGTTACTTTCCCAGCTCTGATCCACTGATGAGTCTGACATCCTAGGCGTCTCATCCAGAGCAAGACTCTTCTTTGCTACGGAAAGGCTCGATTGCAATGAACGCATTTGCTTCTGCCACATTTCCTCCATAGCTTTCATTTTCTGCTCGTACTCTAACCAGCGGTTTTCATATTGCTGAAGCCGCTGATGGAGCATCTCATTCTCTTCATCCTTTTCACGAACTGTAGCCTCGGCTTTTAGTATCCGCCTCTGTAACTCAGCCAGGACTGATGCCTTGATCAAAATTTGATCACCCTCTGCCTCCTGAAAGAATATTAATAATGTAAAACTCAGGCCAGTTTGAATTATTTAAGAACTAAGCAACATATTCCAAGGAGGATGGCATGCATATAACTGCCAGAGGCAAAATATAAGGCACCCCAGACACACACACTTATTGTACCTGTTTTGATTCAAACTCTCTTAGCACGTTTATTAGATCAATATTGCCATTACATCTTCGAACAAGACTGCCACGAATACCTATATATTTTCCAACATAGGAAGACATGGAAACAGTGTGTCAGATAATCGCTTCTCTCCAATGAACTTCTATAAAAGGAGGATCAAGAATCTTCGTACCAGACTGTATTATCACTGAGGCCTTCCGGAGATTTATGAAATACCTTCTCGCGAGCCAACATCTCACATTTCTCTGCAAAATAACCGCTGCTCTATGTTTCCTCGACAAAGAGGAATAAATTTGTCGTGCATTTTCACCACGAATGACTGCAAGTTAAGAAGGATATGTCCATTCCATACGTTAAACTTAAAGAAGAAAAATTCAACAAGAATAAAAAGTAAAATATGTCAAGATAGTAATCTAGGAGAATTTACATGATTGAAGAGCCAAAACTCCTCTTATTCGTTCTCTCGCATGATGACGGGCTTGATGCCCCCTGAAACAGCTTTGAACCCTTAAAATACCGTGCAGAGTACGATTCCGAGTATCTTCAAGTTTGCCAATCTTCAGCCCAATATCAAAGGACACAGTAACACAAGATTATTTTCACCAAATGCTTAACAAAAAAAAGGTAGTGCATACATATAAAGATAAAAAATCCAGGACAATGAATGGTCTACAAACATGTAATGAAAGCAATTGCTTTAGTTTCTAATGTTGGCCATTACCAGGAAATTGGATAGATAGAACAACTAACCTGGCCAGTTCGGAAGAACAACTTTGTGTAGCCAACTTGATACATCTCAGGTAAAATGTTGAACTGATGAAGAATTGCAACTGAAACACTGAGTGGATCTTGAGATGCAACATCCTCAAGAAGAAGAAAGCCATACCTGATTAAATTAAGTATTAACTTTTCTATTAAAAAAAAGTTGGCAGAAACTTGCTGCAGTTGTTGAGAGAGTCAACTTACCGACAAGCAAACTTCTGGTGAGTCATTCTTGTTGGATATCCAGATCTTGAAATCCGGACAACCTCAAGAACCCCACAGCATTTAAGTTGTTGAAGCACAAGTCCTTGTTCGTAAATTGCAGGAAGTTGTAAATTATTTGGTTTAATGCAGCGAATGAAGTGTGGTGTTGTACTTTCCAGTCTTTGCATAAGTTGGAACAGTTGACCCTGAAAAAATTGCACATAATGTCAATTAAACTGTTCTAATTCAATCAAGATCTATCAGAGTGGCTCTTTCTGGGAGTGCAAAATCTACACCTTGAACTTCATGGCAACACTTAGTTTTTGAGAATCAGCAGCACTAGATCTATATGGAACAGACATAGAATTATCTGATTGAGCCAGCATCTTAGATGCAAACATTTTTGGCAGAGAAGTTTTGCATTTGGCAAGGAGCTGAATCGAGTCCATGTGCAATAAATCTCTATTCTTCTCCAGAAAACCCGAAGTATCATAAGCCACCTGATTATCAAGAATAAGAACCAATGATGATAAATGATAAAACAAAGATGAAAGAAAGCAAACTACTGTTCACTGTGAAAAGCAACAATGAATGTACAGCAACATCCAACCTCGCCTGCATAGTGACGGACAATAAATGCCTTGCCTCTTTCTCCTCTGAAGCAAGAATTCGAGTCAAGATGTTGCTTAAGCTTGTTTGCAAAAGTAAGATCTGTGGCATTGGGGAAAGTAGATTCCTCATCCAGCAGAGACAATAACCCCAGTGGTTTCTGTATTAAGTAAGAATGTTAGACAGCAAGAATATATATTACTACATGGCTGCAGGTCAAGTTTGCAAGATGTAAGCGAGAGAATTTAGGACACTTTACCAAGTTTTCGGATCCTGTAATTGAAATTATGAAACATAATAAGAAAATAAAAGGTATGAATTGTCTAAGTCGCCAAAAGGGTGCCTAGCTCAAACGGTTAGGTGACCCAGCGGCACTCCTCAGGTTCTGAGTTCAACTCCCGTGGGAGGCGAATTTCAGGTGAGGTTAAAAAATCCTCGTCGTCCCCATAACCAAAGCTTTGGGGGGCACCGCCCAATTCTCACTTGGGCGACGGAAAGCCACCGTGTAAGGGTGGGGGCGGGGTTCGGGGGTTTTCTCAGCCGGGTGAGAAGGTCCTTCTTCTTATTTGAAATGCTTTGGGGCAGTCTTAACCCCCCCGGTCGAGTTTTTTTTTTTTTTGAATTGTCTAAGTCTTATTGATTTAATAAGAAGCCTTGTCATCTTGGTTTGATATATCAGTTATTTTACCTGTAATATTTATCATGTCTATTTGGCTCTAAGCCATAAGTTTGTTTTACCATCATGGTTTGATAAGCCAGTAACTCCTTTTACTTTTTAATGTTGTCCAAGTCCATAAATCCACCAAAGTTTTGGCAAAGCTCCATAGAACCAACTTATATCTAACAATAATATCTGCATTCAGCCATTTGACACATTGTTTTTTTTCTCCAACAAAGTAGCAGAGCCGCATGTCATTTCATTAAAAAAAAGGCGTACCCGGTCTGAGAGAGCTCCGCTCTGTCTGGGGTCTCTCGGATGGGTGTTAGTGGCAAGCCTTACCCTCGCTTTGTGCAATGTGAGGAGACCATGACTCGAACCGGGACCTTCCGGTCCACAGTGG